TTGCATTATCGTTCAATCTAAGGTTACATTGTAAGTTTGGAGTTTTACATGGTGACCTTATGGAATCTTTAGTCAATATGGCATCATTCGTAACCCCAGCAGGGCCACACTGCGCGGGTCCACTGGTGGGGGCCGAGGAGGTTATTGTTGAGAAAGTCGGCAGAGTTGAAGGTGTACTATGTACATTATGATTTAAACGACGTCTAATCGCATGTCTTGGATGATGCTGATGTCCACGACGTCTTGACGTCGACGACAACATTGGCTCCATGTCACTTCTATTTTTAACCAATTATCTTTTTGTTTACGTAATTAATGAAAATACCTTTCGTATGTATAATGTGAACTTTCATGTTAATTATTTTTACATCATTATCATGATCACGGAATCTCCATTATTCTTCTTGGTTTTTACGAAAACTTTCATATACATTTCTAGGTTATGTTCCAGCCTATTATGTTCAACATGATTTATTTCTCTTCAACTGCTTAATTTTTAAAGATAAGAAGTGAGAGAAAACTTTACTTTTTATATGTCTAATCGTATTACTGTCGACCTGGTGTTGAGTGCTAACGAAAATGAGCCGATAACGGAAAACAGAAACACCGTCAGCACCACCCACACTGAATTCGTCGCCATTTTCGTCAAAACTTTTTTGTAATGCCCCCCACTTGAAGTTTATTCGTTTATTTAATAGATGGCGCGCGGTATGCGCGTGCGCAGCATATTTTTATGATAGACAAAAGTCGCGGGATCTTTAAATTTGGAAGTGGGGCGAGTGTGAAATTAGACTTTTGTCGAAGACACAGTTACAAACCAGAGACATAGAGTGAGAGAGAACTATGGAGGGAGAAAAAGTATGTGTGTGTGTGAGAGAGAGAGAGAGAGAGAGAGAGAGAGAAATAGATAGACAATATGCGAAGAGTTTGGTGCGCGCAGCACGACTGCCGATTATCTGCAGAGGGACGTAAGAAAACCGACAGCGAGAAAGAATAGAGGCGCGCGCACGACATGAGAGAGAGAGACAGAAAGCCAATGTATGAATGAGTGAGTGAGAAAGAGAGAGAGAGAGAGAGAGAGAGAGAGAGAGAGAGAGAGAGAAAGAATGACGGAAGACCGTTTATAAGACGTTGAATACGAATATGGATGTCGATGATGAAAAAAAAACCGAATATTCTCTTTCATTTCTCATCCTTAAAGAATTAAAAAAAAAAATACACTTAATACAAATTGTACAACAAATATAAAATGTGATTATAATATTAAAATGAATATAGATTTTAGATGGATTTTGAAATAATCTCTAGAATATGTAAATGATCAAACATATACTTAAGTTTAAAGAAAACGTTTAATGTTATAATCCTTATTATACATATTTTTGTCCGTTTTAGATTTTTTTTTAACTTTGAGAAATTAATGATAGTTACTATGTCTTTAATTAAATATAGAAGCATAAAAATCTAAGAAATTAAATATGATTGTTAAGTACGTTTATTGAGATTTAGCATTAAAACATTTATTTAGAAATATATAATTTATGACGAAAAATTAGTTTTTAATTATAGGTTTGAAATTTAAAAAAAAAAAAAAAATAAATAGCTAAATATTTTTAACAAAGTTATAAAATGAATAAATGACTAATTTAGATAAAAATAGTTTTCAAAAATAGTTTTAAATTAGTTTGCATGGATAAAAGAAAAATTTCTTAATGTTAATATTAGTTTATTTAATATATATAAGTTATATATAGTATATATTATTATATATTATTATATATTATATATATAATATATTATATTTATATATATATATAAAAATAATAATAAATATATACAATAAATAAAACAATATAAGTTTATTATTATAAATACTTCTTTTATACAGCAAATGTATTATGAAACCATAATTTAACATTTCATTAAATATTTTCTTTTTTATTATTGTTTATTTGTTGTAAAAATTGAGATTTCATGTAAATTAATAATAAGAAATAAACGTTAATATTCACTTAAATAGACTAATTACATTAGCACTTATTTATGTATTATATTATTAATTATATAAATTTCAATAATGTAGATTAATGAGTTTTGAGAACTATATTATTATTATTAATTGAAACTTTATTCTCACTGAAGCTTTAAAATTATTAATTTAGTATTATAAATTTCGACTAAATTTTGTTATAAAAATATGGGAATTGGTTTTAAACGACAACGAAATTTTTTCATAATATAATTATTTTACCTGAAAGTATAAATTATAAATTTAGAATTATATTTTTTATTGTTTGCTTCATTTTAAATTATAATATAAAATTATGTTCATGTATAGACAAGTTCAATGATTATTAAAATTTTTAGGTATTTAGGAGACAAGAGAATTATTAATCCAAATTGACAAGAACAATCTATTTTAGAAATAAAGCTAATACTTATATTGGCTAAGATAATATTAATGCAAATTATGATTAATAACTTTGTAGTTTACGTATTATTAGCAAATATTTTATATGGCAAACGATAATAAATATTATAATTAATGATTAATATTACAGTAGTACGATTACTTCTCATGTTATTAAAATCTATATTAAAGACAATAAGATGTATGAAATAAATATTTTTCGAGCCGAACTAAATTCAAATTCAAATGATAAAAAATACTTAGATACATATAACAAAGCCTCACGGCAACCTTTTGCATAATAAAATTTAGAATAAACTGAAGCGGAATTTGCTTGGATTAAGCAAGATCCTGTCCCGCAGCTAAGTCAAAAGAACTGATTTTGTTAGATGAAAGATAAGAAAGTGAGGATATTGAAGTAGAGAATATTCGCAAACAGAATTAACGAACGAGGTGATACAGATAATAGGCACAATCATCGAGATTATCAATACGAGGGCACATTTTTGATAAATCTTATTGTATTCAGTAAGTCGAGACCTTTCTTGACAACTCTGGCACAGATTGCGCACGTAGCGTCATGACATTCTTAAAGCATTGCGTCAAATACTCTACACGCACACAACGTGTGTGTAGTAAATACTGCCTCTTGTGCTCCTCTTCACTTTTCTCTGCGTTATTTTACAAATGTTTTTAATAACTTATGTGATTGAGTCTCACCTTAGTCCTTCACAGCTTTCTACGCCAACTTGCCTCGTCCCTAGTTATTTGTAATGGTTAAAGACGCTGATCGATTAATCACGAGTGGAAGATTGTGCCGAAAGTTTATTATTCAACAACTAAATATCATATTCCGAAATAAATAAATAAATAAATATATATATATATATATATATATATATATATAAGTGCAAAGATTGTATATGCTTATTAACTATAACTATTTATAAAATAGTAGTGATTCTTTGGAGGAAAATTTGTACTCGTAATTTAATATTTTGAGCAATTTTTCTTAATCTGTTATTTTTGAATAATATCTTATATTATAAAACAAGTAGTATTGTACTTTCTTATAAACTTTTTTTTTTATCGAGCACAGTGTTTTTTCTTTAGGTAGCAGTATTTTTACTTTTAAGTATGTTTTCACATCATCTGCGTCAAATTAATTTAATTCAATAGTATATGTTTTTTGTTGTTTTTTGTTGTTTTTTGTTGTTTTTTGTTGTTTTTTTTCTAATGTTTTTTTGTTTTTAGATGTTTTTTTTCTAATTTACATTAATTTATAACCTTTTCTAAAAATATATACTTAACGTATAAAATTCTCCCGAACCTATGCGATTATTTTAAATTAATGCTACGATCTTGTCAATTGATAACGAAATTTTAAAAATTATAATATTTTCATAATGAAAGAAATTAGGAGATTTTAAAAATATTGATTTAATTAATATAACGTAAAATTATCTTGTAATTTGATTAAATAAATTACTCAATAAATTACCTTGTTCAATTTTCAAACATAGTTACAAAAGAATAATTATGCCAACAAGTTTTTCTAGAATAATATTGTAATATATAATACACGTTATATTTTTATATTATTTCTGTTGTACCTCAATATATATATATATATATATATATATATATATATATATACGAGTGTATGAACTTTATGAGAAACCAAACGAATTTACAATTTCTATTAAATTATAATATTATTATTACTTCTAAATACAATACACATTGTTAAATCAAAACCTTTTTCTATGATTGATGTTTATATTTACATAATCATTATGGAAAAATTAAAAATAAAAATTGCAATATCCTTAATATAAATTTTAAAAAATAGGTAAACTTTATACAATTAGTAACTGTAATTAATGAAACTATTAATTTATTAAAAGAACATTAAAGTTTATTTTTCTATTTTAGTAATGTATCACGATCTAATCTACTATATATAAATTTTTGTTAACAATTATTATTAACTTAATATTTATAGCGATTTAATTACATAATTACATAATGATTTAGTTCTTTATTTAAACTTGTATTAATTTGAATGTTTTAGATAAGATTTTATTTAATGAGAATCGATGCACATGTAGGAAAGTAATTTTTCATGTTTGCCAAATCTTAATATAATAATAAAATGAATATTATTAAAATTTTAAGAAAAGGACCTATTATAATTCATTGAACTTAAATAATCTTTCTTAATATTCTTAAACTCCTGGATATTTGTATTACGATACATATTATTAATATAAATAAATAATCTTTATTATTTTATATCTTATTTTGACAATTGTATATGACATAAAACTGGAAATACTAAAAAAATTATAGTTAAAAAAAATCTCTTTACAATGGTTCAGAAATAAAAATTATCATAATACTTAATAGTACATAGGAAATCCCTTTAAAGAAATATAAGAAATGTTTTTCTTTAATCAATATATTATGAGTCTCATACATTATGAGTTTCCGTAAATTGTTAATTATTTTTATTTTATAACATTAAAATTGATTGCCCTCGAACAATCATGGAGACGGCTATTATTGAAATAGTAAACGAGTAACTCACATTTTGGAGGGCCTTATCCTTTTCCTCAAGCTTGGCATTGACCTGCATGAGTGCTTCTTGAGTCTGATCCAGCTCGTTCTCGATAGTCTGGATCTTCTTTTGGAGTGCACGGGCCTCCTCCTCAGCCTACATTTTATTTCAATAAATGAGAAAATTATTAAACGTTATTGAAATTCGTGTATATAATTTTTGTTTCCACCAAACCGACAACAATGAGCTTAATTTTTCTAAACTCGCGCGCCAGAAATATCGTTACGCAGCCAAATTAAGTTCCATTTATGCGAACCTATATTCACAATCCATTGATTTAAAAAAAAAATCGTCCATTTTATATTAATGCTATTAAAAAAAAAAAAAAAAAAAAAAAAAAAAAAAAAAAAAAAAAAAAGAACAAATTTTACTATTCTTTTAAAAGAAATATTGTATCAAGCTTCGGTTAAATATCCAAATTGATTGAATATCTTTTTCAGTACTCCGACAATTAATCGAACGAATAAGAATATTTTTTTTATTCAATTACGCCCCTAGGATCCCCCATGTTGTCCTGGCTCTCGGTTGAGCTTCCGTAATAAAGAACAAAAAAACGAAATTTCCAAAAGATCTTGACGCGATGAAGGTAGAATGAAAGTATCGTTAAAGACAAGAGAAAATAATGACCTTTTCTGCACGCGCATTAGCGTCGCGAGCTTGTTGTTCACAGAGCAATGCACGATCCATCGCATTGTCCTTCTCCAGCTTCATTCCCTGCATCTTCTTCTTAATCGCGTCCATGGTAGCGGCTTGTTTTTATTCTACGGGATAGACTGAAACACGAGTTTGGTATGTATTGTTAGACGCACCGTACTCTCCGTATGACATTCAATAATGTAAAATCTAGCAGAGCGCATGTGTAATGGTACTGTGCGACTTATTACAGCTCAAATTATAATATAATATTATTTTTAATATTAATATAATTACAGAAGCAAGATTATGATGGGCAAATAATATGTTTTCGTTAGATTAGGCCAGTTTTAGGTAGATTGATAGGAGAAATCTATAAGCTCCTAGTTTCCAGCCACTGGCTTATCCGTAATAAATCCAATATAAAATGTCATCGAACCGATAAATTACATTCATTACATGCACTTAAGTAGATACTATAGAATAAATGCGAATGAAATCTTATTTTTTTGCCTTTTCATTAGCAGAATACGTGCTGCTTATACGCTTAATCATATATAATCTATAAATACTTGAATTAAAAATATTTTTTTAAAAAAATTTTCCAATGAAATAGTTTAAAATGTATATTTATTTATAATATTTACTATTTTATAGTAAATGTAACTGTATCTGTAATTGCAAATCTATAGGATATATAGGTCAAGTATTTTCGTAATACATAAAGTTAGGGTATCGTAGTTAATTATAGAATACATAGGATTTACTTTTGTCTGATTTGTTGATAACGTTATCACAACATTTCTTTTCTGTATTGTTTAAGTAATTAGCTCATATACAAAAAGTTATGTTTAATTTTTAAAAACAAACACATCGATGACTTTCTAAAGATTATAGTTTATTAAAATAAAATACTTCTAGAAAAGCTAAGGAGTTACTAGCAATAATAACCAATGTACTTTAACAGTACAAAGTTACCTAATACAGTATTTGAAAATTGATTTCGATTCTAAAATTAATTGTTATTCTATTATTTTGTAATTTATTTCTAATTATGAAGTACATTGATATTAATTATGTAATATTTATTTCTGATTGAATGGTATAGATAATTAAATATATTAATTTTTATACACACAGAGGTGTGTGTTTCCACGTATGCAAGTTCAAAAATTAAAGAATTACACTGAGCTGTAAAAAGTAAGTTTTATTTATAGATTTGCAATCTTAAAATAATTTTTGGCACCGAGTTCAAAAACTGACATAAATATATTTCAAGCATATATATATATATATATAAAACGTTATAATAAAATGTTTAAATATATGTTGAATGAATGAGAAAGAATTGTGTCTGTTAAATTTGTATGCGCATGCGATTACACATAACATTTAAATCAGATAAAAGTTATTTAAAATTCGTAAAAAGTATAAATAGAGTCGCGACTTAATTATTCGATGAATTATATAGAACCATTAAGGTAGTATTGTAAATAGTATATCCTTGAAGTTCAACGCGAGCTTCGTAAATATCCGCTCTCTAACGTTAATCAACCGCGGAGGCTGTTAATTATTTTCAAACTATATGAGTAATGACAAATTGATTTAGCCCTCGGTATGTGTTGGTTTTATATTCACGTAACAAGCGAATAGGTATAAATATTTCGTGCTATGGATTTAAATTTTTTGGGCTATGAGTATAAATTTTTCGAGCGATGACGCGATACTTACGTATACGCTCGCAATCGCGCAAGAAGAACTGTGCGAGCATATATATAAGAGGGGGGTTGGGCGATTTGATGGTGGTGGTGGTGGTGGTGGGATGGTTGGTTAGGAGGGAGGGGAGGGGAGGGAGAGGGAGAGAGAGAGAGAGGGGGGG